AAGTCCAATCTTTGTAGAAGACGATTTCACTTATTTACATTTTTTATTTACTGTTTTTCATTTCGTTGGAGTAAAACAATCGCCAGAATTTAGTCAGTAATTTAGAACATGTACAATAAACTTGGTTGCTGTAGAGTAAGTAGTCGATGTATCTAATTCAATCTTATAGGAAATCAGTCGCCTTATAAATAGCTAAGTGGTAATGTATATGACTAAGTCTGACGTGAGTTTGTATTTCTGAGGAGATAGCAGTCACCCTGGAGTTGCAGATATTCCTTGCTAACGAGAGCCAACTAGAGCGAAAAGTAGGTTCAAGGCTTCACTTCGACTGCTCCCAACCGCCTAACATTAGTTGCTGTCTGATGTTTATTGACTGTTAACACTCGTCAGCAAGGCGTATCCACAACCTTAATGAAACTGTTACCCAGCATGAAATATGAACCCGCTTCACTCAGTGTTGCGCTCATCCACATTACCACTTAGTCATTCAGGCCACGACTCACCTCCGTTAGGGCTGGGTTACATATATTGATTGCTCACGGGAAAGCAACCAGTTTCTTGTTATATAGTCCTGACTGAAGACCAAATTATTTCGATCATATTTGTTATGTGGCCACAAAGCTATGAGTCTCAGGATCGCCGCGTGCATTGGTAGAATTTGTCTCGTTGGAGGCTGAGTGGCAACGTCACTGACTACAACACTGCTTGGTGCGGGTTCTAATCGCACGCGTGACATCTATTTAGTTGAGGTTTTAGATACACCTTGCTCATGAGTGCCAAAAAGTACGAAACACAAGTCAACAGATTCCCGCCGATTGCTTCTAACCAATTAACGCGTATCAATGTGTAAGGATATAGAAATACCACCAACACATACAGAACTACCAGTGAACACAAATCCTTCAACAAAAGTCGAAGTCTTGAGCGCTATAAGCCAATGAAATGAGGGAAAGCAGCAGAAATAGATGGGATCCCGCCAGAAGCACTGAAAACAGACGCAGAGACAAAGGCGGACATGCTCACAAAATTATTGCAGAAGGTGTGGAAGGAAGGGAAAGTACATGGTGATTGGAAGAAGGGCTATCTTGTAAAACACCCGAAGAAGGTAGACCTAGGTGTTTGCAAGAACTGGCGAGGAATCATGCTCCATCCCTGTCCACCAAAACCAAGCAAAATATTATGCCGCATCATCCTCGAGAGACTAAACCATGCACTAGATTCAAAACTACAACCAGAACAGGATGGCTGGCTGGCTGGCTGGATTCAGGAAATACAAATCATGTGCGAACCAAATTGCAACGTTTCGCATCATCATAAAACAGAGTATGGAATGGCAGTCAAATCAACTCAACCTCAAATTCATCCACTTTGAAAAGGCCTTCGACAGTGTCAACCGACAAGTAATTTGGCAGGCAACTGCTTCAACACTACGGAATACCACAAACCTTTATCAATCTCATTCAACAACTAACTATGTGAAGACATCACATGCCAGACGAGTAATTCACAATGGGAAGCTAGCTCAGTGATGCCTTTGCATTGGAAGTGAAGACAGGAGTGAAACAAGGCTGTCTACTATCAATCATGATATTCCTGATTGTGGTCGACTGGATCATGCAATAGATGACAGTGAGGAGTTGTGAGAAGAGGGGTATACGCTGACTGGATCGAGGAGAAGATCCTAGAAGATTTGGATTTCGCCGATGATGATCTATGTGTAATGTCACACAAACTCGAAGATGTGCAGGCGAGAAGTAACAAGTTGACGGGAGAGGGGCAGGGGCAGGGTCAGGGCAGCGAAGACGGGACTTCCCTCAGGTGAACGCAGAGAAGACAGAGGTGATGAAGATACCCAACCAACACCACTAACAACACCACTACCAACAACAACAACAACAAGTACCAATCACCATCAACGGGAGAAACTAGAAGGAAGTATTCTCTTCCACCTACCTAGGCAGCATCGTTTCAACTACAGGCGACGGTGGCACACACGAGGATGTCGAATTCAGCCAGGATCGGAAAAGCGAGACTGACATTCATTAACCTGAAACCAGTGTGCACATCTACTCCACTCAGCACAAATTGTGTGAACAACATCCGGATTTCCAACACCAATTCAGTCAAGTCAGTCAGTGCTTCTGTGTGATGGTTCACAAATGTGGAGCATTGCGAAAGGGATTTCCAACAAACTACACACATTCATCAACAACTGCCTACACTGGCTGCTTACTGAAGCTCAGATGGCCAGGAACAGTCAGCAACAAGGAACTCTGGCTAGCTGGCAACGAACCAATCAAGCGAGAAGCTATGGCTGAAGAAATATGCAGGAGTAAGTGTGGATGGATTGTATTGGGCATGCAGTGAGCAGACCGAATGGGGACATCACGTGTCAGGCCAGGTCGTCAAGTGGAAGGCAGATGGGAAGTGACGAGTTGGGTGTGTCAGCTGTGGGTGATATGGAGGAGATGGTGTGAGGAAGAAATGAGAGGTTGTTGGCTGTTGTGGAGCGAGGTTGAAAAGATTGCAGAGAATCGAGTGGGATGGATGTGTGCTAGTGAATCCCTATGTCCCATTAGGAACCCAAGGTATAAATATTCATAATAATATTCACGAGAATGATGTGCGAGGAGATGCCAATTCTTGTAGCCTAGTGACTGCAGTAGGAATATGATGGATAGTATTTGGTCTGCAATCAGAACTAGACGATGTGATATTGCTTGCTCTCCCGTGAGGAATGCATATATTGATCGCTTTTCGCATTCAGAAGGATCTCATGCGCTCATTTCGCCCTACCTGAAGCTGAATTGACCTATCCTCGGATTTAGGTACTACTCTCTGTTGCATAATTTGCTTCGTTGTTTAGACCAAATTTATATGTGACTGCTAGTATTCTTCTTTCCCATGCATCTCAATATAAACGGAGTCGAACTGTATACATATAAGCGCTTGTACACTTACGCTTCTATTGCCCACCATTTCATCTGGGTTTCTCCCTACTTATAGTTTATATGTGTTGTGTCGTTTTGTTAACGGAAGTAGGAAGCTTGAAGAGAGTTATCATTAGTGGATGATGATTGAAGGTGAAATGAAAATTTGGACCGCGGACGGACTCGAACCAGAAACCTTAGGCTGCCATCTGACTATCATGTGAAAGCCATGCGCGAAGCCCTTGGTGAATGAAGTAAAGTAAAAATATGGTGAGCAGTCAGGTCTCGTAGGTCAGTTGGTAGAGCACCGGGTCGATAACCCAGTAGTCTCTGGTTCGAATCCAGCTTGTGTCTAAATTTTCATTTCATCTTCAATCATCATTTAATATCAACACTGGTCTGTCAAATTATGGCTAAGCCAGATAGTTAAAATAATAATGAATATTAGAAAAACAATTTTCAACAGGAAATATAATTGAAAAATTGTGTTATCCTTGAAATATCAGAAGCAGGAGAGTAGTACGTTGACTTTTGACTAACTTAACCTGCAAAAATTCTTACTTTACATCTTATGCGTAAATTAGCGCGTTTTTTTCTAAAAAAAATTTCAAATTATTTTAGTGAAAAAGAAAAGAGAACTGCTTCACTAACCTCAGAGTATAGAAGTTAGCAATGAAAAGTTCAGCTTTAACTTTTAAGGTTTACTCAGGTTTCTTTCAGGGGGAGTTCTTCTATTTTATGACCTTATGAGGACTACTAATCCACTGGAGAATAAATATTAGGCTTTAGAAAGTTAGAATCAACATTATAATCTGGTATTAACATGTGATGCCTTGTTAATAAACCGGAATAATGAAAATAATTGGTAATTTGGAACAGCTGAAAATTGCTGAATGATTCACTATATAATATGACACAATTTTCCAATTCTACCATGGACGACGATGTATACCTTTATAAGGGATATAGAAAAGAAGAGATAATTTACTGGAAAAAAAATTTATTTCTCTACACTATGAAGCAGGACACTTGTACTCATACACAAACCACAAAAATATCACAATCTATTATTGGAAAGCATGGTATACCTAGATCATATGAGTAGTGTCCAAACTGAAATCAATATTGGAAAATAGTTACACAATAGCCTATTAATGTGAGGAAAGTGAAGAAAGAAATAAGAGTCATAATGAAGGTGATAGTTTAATGAGTACTACTGATAAGAATGCGAAATTTTAAGCAGGTTCTTACATTGATATTTTGCATAATGGTAACTAAAGAACAAAATGTATTGATTGGTCATGGGAGTGCAACCAATTTCATGTTGTCTAGTCCTGAGTACAGACTGAATCCTATCGATCATATTTAAAATGTGGTAACTAAGCTAGGAATCTCAGCATCGTGGTGAACATTAGTAGATGTTAATTTTACAAAATCTTTCTACTATAATTAATCTATACTTTAGTTATTTGTCTTCATTATCTGATCATTTGCTCTGGGAACGAACCAACCAAGAACCTATCACCCAACAAATATGCAGAAGAAAGTGGAAGTGGAGATGGATTGGGCATGCACTGAGAAGGCCGACTGGGGACATCACGCGTCAGGCCAGGCACTCGAGTGGAATCCCCATAGGAAGCGACGAGTTGGGTGTCCGAGGGTGACATGGAGGAGATAGTGCGAGAAGGAAATGAGAGCTTGTGGGCTGTCGTGGAGCCAGGTTCAAAAGATCTCAGAGAACAGAGTTCACTGGAGACGTGCTACTGAAGCCCTATGTTCCACTAGGAACCCAAGGGACTAATAATAATAATAATCTGATCATTTATCACCTTCTTCATATTTTGAGATCGTTAAACTGTCTCAATACACGACTGGTATGTAACTTTACATTTTGAAAATGCTACATATATTAATGTAGAGCTATTGATGAAGAACTAATTGTAAAGAAATATTCCTTCGCTCATACGTTGTTTGCTTTCACTAAATATCTAAATAGGAATTTTTGCATTACTGATTTAATCAAACTGTTTCCTATTCGCATGACTATTATTACATAATCGTGTGATACAGATGGAGAGTAAGTTGAAAATATTCACTATGTGATCATAATATCAGCTTGAAATAAGAAAATATTTTCATAATGAATACGGCTATAAAGTAAATGTTTATTATTTCTCCAACAAGAGCTCAGGACTATGCACAAAACGCTTGTTACACTTTCAACTTTTATTATGCATTAGTTAAAGCGTTCAGTTCACTTGTTTATGTGTTAGCGGCAGTGAATTTGGACATTTGTCAGTCGTACAGATGAAAATCAGTCAAATTGATCACCCTTGCCCAACATTATACCATCATGATATATTCAATTAGCATAGATCGGGGTAAAATTCAATGGTTTCTCAGTTCCATTCAACTTTGCTGTTGTTGTATGTATAACAGAATGATGCTTTCATAAAATAGAGTTACAGAGGTTTACATTTACTTCATTTCGAGAATCATTGAGGATCTGATAGAACCGGACAGCTGTTTCGTCCTACCATTGGACTTCTCAGATGTATGCATCCACGATCCCATGAAGTTTCTTAGAGAAGATGTTAACCATTCAGCCACTGGGTTAGAGTTCAATGTACATTAGTTTAAAACTGTGTAAAATCCTCTGAAGATTCTATTCCTCTCATGTGGTCAACTTATCCAAATCTCTTATCCTGCTTATACTGGCTCTAAGAATATAGTGAGAAGACTTTTACACAAGTAGTTCCTGAGAAAACGACTAGCTGAAAACAGGTTGTTGTCTCCCAATGAGCTATTTTATTTCCACTAGGACTCCATCCTATGACCGATCACTTCAAACGTGAAAGCACTGTCAACTTGACCATCTAGTTACAATAGCCACTTTATGAGTGAAAGGCATAGTTTTCATGTTGTTGCTTAGATTATCCTGTCGTTGATTGGACCTAATCGATCAGTCTTTATTGGAATATAAGCTCCTGTGCGGATGCTTCGATAGTGGTTAAAAATTTCTTAGAAATTACACGACAAGTGGGTGAAATTGTCACTTTGGATAGGTTCCTAGAAATTCCAGAAATACTGTCAAAAATGTATGAGCATATAGGGTGAATCATGAACAGATGGCTAAAAGAAGCGTCCACATCAATCCTCTGTGAACAGAACTTTTTCAGTAGACAATTTTGGGTATGGTTCTATAGGCCACCTTGCCGATTACTTAAATAACCCATGAAGTTTTCTTTTCTTTCGCCTAGCAAGTCAGGTTGTCATAAAATAGTGAAGTCTAATTGGTTATTTCAATTGTATAGTGTAATAAGGAGACGGAGGTTATCTGTGTAATGCGTGTGATGTATTCGCGCAATACATTTCGAACAATCTGATCCCCTACACGTTAACTTGTCAAGGCATTAATGTATATGTAAATACGATGGGATAAGATAATACAATATTTGGAAGATACAGAGATAATAAGGAAGAGTATAAAATAAGATAAAGATTACCAAGGTAGGTCCCAGGTAGGGAAAAATTGTTTCTGAACACATATAAGGGGTTTAAACCTTCGTACTGCTAACGCTTCAGTGAATCTAAGTATAGGGCTGTTTCGGGGTCAGTCCATTGACCTATTTCTATAATATGTTTACTTGATCATGGGGTTTGAGGGGATTTAGTGGTTTTCCAAGTCGGTATCTATCCACTGTGGACTGATATCAGTTGGAGGATCACTGAAAACGTAGGAGTACTGGACACCGCTTTCGTCCTAGTTTGGGACTCCTTGGCAGTGCGTGCCTATGACACCGCCACACCAGGGATTTAATGCATGACCTTCAGGTTCCGTGGTCAGCATGTTACCATTGAGCCAACCACCAGGTTGGAATCCAATGGTGCATACTTCCAACTTCTGTCAGTTCATGATATGGAGCCACCATCAGCCAATGTCATCGCTGAGTATTTGTCCTTATAGTGACTATATTTGTTCCACTGGTCACGACTTGTCATTGGACTTCAGGAATCACCTCTCGAAGCTAGTCACCAATGTAATATACTTACTTATCGACGATGATGTCTGTCTGCCCCATGTATTTATCGGACTAATTGAATATAATTGTGTTTCTAGCCATTTACGGACATGCTCCACCACCGTCGAATTCATAGCTCGATTACTCCTACCAACTAAAGTTTCACCGCACACACATGGTAATTGATATACACAGAGGGATATGACGTAGTCATTCATGTACTGAAGAGTTTTATTTTCTCTTTAATATTGAGCTTGACTGCATAGTGTACGTTTATAATTTAATCACCGAAATAAGCCGTTGTCTTAATATCATGCTGTTTGATTTCCCCTTATACGGTTACTCCTTCGAGATAGACTACTGATTAATTCACACTTTTTAGACGCTTTCATAACGAGTGATCTTCAGCGTCTTTGTTAGAAATTTGATTCCTTCTTCTTGTGTATTTGTTGTGCAGATACGTTGGATCTTTGTGAGGAATCATTTTGCGAAACCTCGTTTGTACTCTATTGTGTGGGAACTATGAATATTTAGATACTGTCCTATTGATCCAGGTGTTCTGTACACTGATCTTTTCTCTGATCTGTTTTCGCTTTTGGCCAACAGTATGTCAAAAAAAGGAATCTGATTATTTTTTTCTCTTTCGCACGATAAACTAATATGGCTTCGTTTGGTGTCAAGACTATCTGGAGAAGTTTTCACAGCCTCATATTTGTTATATATAACTAAAAATCTTCAACCTATATGCTTGTAGAGGGACTTTGTTGATTAATTCCTTAGCCAATATTTCTACATATGACATATGGACATCAGCTGACAATGGTGCTAAAGGACTGACCATAGCAACACTATCAATTCAAAAATGTTCACCTTCGAAAGTGAAGTGTATAGACCATGTATCAGTGTATATCAGTATTCGCTCTTTCAGATATTTTGCAGGTATGATGGGTGAAGGATTATTTAGCGATAAATAATCACAAAGGCATATTGGTAAATTAAGAGTTGACCTCAAAAGAATACATTGTCTTATCTTTGACATTATTGTCATTTATGTAGTCAATATGCTCAAAATTATCTTTTAGTGCAAGCTTACAAATTTAATTTTTTACTGAACTTGGCATTTATACTAACCATTTAAACTATTTATGCGTTGGGGAGTGACACATCGATAGCATTGGAAGTTATGTCGTGAATTGACAGAAGTTGGAAATTGTGAACCAATGGAAACCGACCCAGTGGATGAATGGTTAACGCGTTCGCCGTGAAACTCAAGGTCCTGGGTTCGATCCCTAGCCGGGTCGTGGGTGCGTACTGCTGAGGAATCCTATACTAGGACGAAACAACTGTCCAGTGCTTCCAGGTTTTCAATGGTTCCCCAACTAATGTCAGTCCATGATGAATACTACCATATAAGTATATTTGGCCTATTGAGAAGTTGAGGGGGCGTCCCTATCTCGACATCATTAACCCTGTTCTGTCATCAAAGGGTCAGACTGACGAGAAGTATGAAATATCTTCCAGTCTTCATAATCTTATTATGCTCGCAAAATGTCTACGTGCACATGGTTTGAAGATGTTGTCAAGTGGCCTTCAATCTCGACCAATTAAAATGAAGTAACCTTGATTTACGATCGAATACAAAATATAAGCCAATCATAATCAAAACTTATATTTATCTCCTATTCGTCCAGTGAAAACAAGTTTAGACAGACGTTAGTCATTATTTCTCTCATTCTAGTGGAATACGGAATTTTATTTACACGCTCCATAACCGTTTACAGTAAGTTATTAAGTCATATAGTTGGTTGTAGTTTATGTCCAAAACTCAAGTTACAAAATGTAATGGTGTTGTGTGGGAAAATATCTTCCGTTGCATTTTTTATGCTAGTGCTTATCTGTCTTTAACCTCAGAAATATTTCCAATTAGTGATAGGTTTTGGGTAATTTTCCACTAGGAAATCAAAGATTATGTATTCTCTTCTGAGATTTTAAAGCACACAGAACAATTTACTGTTCTGGCTTTGTAACTTGAGGATTTTAATCGTTGTAAGTTTCTAGAAAATACATTATATCATGCGCAAGAGGGATCTTCTTCAATTCCCCATCCCAAAAATATTCAATAGCCATGCAGTGATAAAATTAAATGTTAGTAGTATACAAGTTCCTTCCTTAAGTATCAGTCCTTTTTGCTTAAGTAGTTGGTCGTATTTCATAGTTAAATCTCAAATTTTGTATGGGTGTCTTTCCGCTGAAGGTCGTAGGATGTGTGCACCACATTCATCAAGTACTCCTCCAAGGAATTTCTGAAAAAAACAATCGCATTCATACTTTTAAGCATCCGTAAAGTATGACTCGTGCATATGGTCGTCAGTATGTGTATTCGTACACTTCATTGAGAAGGCTTTGTCATGTTGAGAACTGCAAAGCAACTTCCGTTTTGAATGTTAAGTCAAAACCTTTGGGACTGTACGAGAATACCTAAATATCTTGTCTGTGTTCGATTACTGATTATCACCAAAGTTTTGTCACCGTGTATTCACCAGTGCTATGTATATATTCTCACCATATCCCATTGATAATGGCGAAGAAATAAGGAATATTATCAAATAGATGTAACATTGTTATTTGCTTCGTATTTGCATTTTTACAATTCTAGAACGTGTGATAGAAATCGGTATTTTGAAAATTCACTGCATTATGAATTCATGATTTAGTTAAGCGATTGAAACCTTAACTGATGTCCTGGTGTGAAATATAGCAACTTGGCTCGGCATGCAGTAACATCAGGCCCCATGTTGATATTCACTGCACCATCAAATGCTCTCGGCATCGAAACTGAAGTGAAGAGTAGTTAACTGAAGCTTTGACATGATATCTGTAGGCAAGTATATATTTGCTTCTGACAAGAATCTTTGAGATAACATGGAGAAAAGGCGATTATGAAAGGGCGATTGAATTCATTATATCTATTCCTCTAAATATTAAATATTTTTACTCCTTTATACTATTCCATATTAGATTTGTTTATCTGATTTATACCACACAGTGGTACAGTATTATTTACTTGATGACGTTTCCAGCATAAATTATTGCTCATAATCATATCAATGTGATCATACTACTTTCAACATCTAGTTTTCATAGTCCTCTCACCTCATATACTTCGCTTCTATTGGTGGTGAAATTTTCCATGTGTCGTATAGGTGTCACATCATTCCTATTCCACATTCAATGAACGAAGATTCAGTAATCAATCACACACTCTCCGCCGAATTGCACTGAACCTAAGTAAAGTTGTTTCATCCCACCCTAACCATATTGTGGTTGTATGTTACTATCCGTACATTGCAGTAGCCGAGTTTTCTTTCTAGATTATTGGTCTCATTTGGGTCTATCATTCTATATTTAGCTAAATTCCTATATTCCGCGATTCTAACTGACCCTAATGGCTAGTCTCACCTATGTACTTGACCCAGAGTCATTACATTGAATTTGATAGATTAGACCATTTTGCTTAATTGGTTCTATCGGATCCTTAGGTCACTCGACAAAGCTTATCTCTGAGTGAGTTTTCAGGTTTACACGCCACCCTAATTCCAGCCTCGTTAAAAATCCTACGTAAAGTTTCTGAAGTTACTTCCTTATGAATGGTAGCACAATGAACATTTGAACTTTCTACTGGTGTTGTCGTTATCATTCGTACTCGTATTATTTTTATTATTTTGTTTATTATGTGTTCCTACGAATTTCTTAATGAACGGTACACAATAATTATTGACTATCAGTGCTTCTCTTTTGTGTTTCACTTCCCTGTTAAGGATCTGGCACTGACTAGTCAGTTTCCTAGCTCTACCATTTAGATATTTGACTAAACCTGCCTTAACTGACATTGATTATCTGAAATGACTTTAAGCCTAGATACCTAATAGAATGTGTCGATTTTCTGCTAACTGTAGTATCCAGACCACCATCTGTCCTTCGTTTTATCCTGCAATCCAACATGGGTGGTTCTCCTTGTTCATTTCCTACCTCCATGTAAGTGAATTGGATTACGCCTACTACTGAGTTTCTTTGTACAACGAACTTGTCGATATGTCCCAACTTCAACATAGTAAATGTGTCATCCACACATCGCCACCATATCTTAATCTTAGGTGCAGGATTAGACGTTTGTAACACCATGTTTTGCCAACTATCCATGAATGCATGTGCTGAGATTGGGTATATTGGTGATCCCATTGCTACTCCTTCTGTTTTTCAATCAATATATTTAGTCGTGAAAGTTGGAAACTGTGGATGTCAGGCACAACTGTATGTCTAATGTGATCTCATCGACTGATATCTTAGTTCTGAGTCGATATTTACTTTCACTACCAATAAGAGCAAAGAATATGTGTTGACAGGACTATGAAAGCTGATTATTGAAAGTGGTATGATTATGAGGAATAAGTAATTTATGCTCGAAACGTCATCAAGTAAATAATATTGTATCACTATGTGTTATAAATCGAATAAACAAATCTAATATGGAATTAAATTCTACCACAGTGCACAAGTTTTATACTTATTTCTGACATCGATTAAGTTCGTTCTTTTGTTGTTGTTGTGTCCTTGGGAAGTGTATCCACTTAAGCCAAGATACTTTGATTCAAAGCTTAACATTTCTTTTGTATCTATTCGTACTTCAGGTAAAACTTTTAACTCATAACAGTCTCTCAATTATTTAAATCAGATGAGAGTGAAAATGAGATTTTTTTATCATTTCTGGTGAAAACACATCATCTATTTCAGGCTTGATAGGAAAGATGTGATGTAGAATAGCCAATGATTGCGTTTGAGAATGATTTGAGGTGTAGAACACATAAGGTTGTGAAGTTTCAGCGATTGAAATAGCTGACAGATGTGCTGCGCGCACACTTACACAACACCAACCTCGATATGAAATTTTAGTTCTAGTTCTTGACTTCTACTTTGTGCCGTTCAAGTAGGTATAGACTCTCTATACCTAACTTTTCTTAAATGTTAGAAATCAGTGTTGGTAAACTTTCGGTGGTATGACTCAAAATCAACCACATGGACTCATATTTATCTTTTTGTTCATTATTTTCGAAATTTTGAAAATTTTATTGACTCTCACTCATTTTCTCGACTTGTCAGTTCCTCATTTCCTTTTTTGGAGGGGAGTGGGTGGGGTCTTGACTATTGTTTCATTTTCTTTTTACTTTCTCTAATTGTGATGGAGTGATTTCAAGGGCGGCCACAGCAACGATTGTGGCAGATTTCCATAAAATCAAGTAGTCTAACTGGTTATTTCAGTTGTTCAATTTGGAGGTTTGCGGTATTTATTGATTGATTTTAGGTCGGTATTCATCGCGGATTGACATCGGTTGGAGAACCATTTAAAACATGGGGCGTTGGACAGCTGTTTCGTCCTAGTATGGGCTCCTTAGCAGTGTGCACCCAGAACCTTAAGGTTTTGCTGCCTGATTGTTACCATTGAGCCTCACTAGGTTGGAATCCAGTAGTTCGCATTTCTTACTTCTGTCAGTTCATGATATAGTGCGATATTCATCTAATCCTATCACTGAATAACTTTCTTCATGTCAGACTTAGTTTGCACCACTTCTCATTAGAAATTTGGAAATCTCATTTCGAAACTAATTATTGATTGTTAAGTTGGCTTTACAGTCATTCTTGTAGTGTTGTGAAGTGTGATACAATGAACTGATGCACTTGTCGTACAAGATCATGTATTGGTTTGTCCAAACCGTGTAAGTAATACAGGTGACAGAGTACTTCGGCATCATACCTGAATTCAATGGATATCCACTATCTTTTAGTCCCATGGTAACTTTTTAATTTTTTCTATTTCTACATTGTTATCAGCTTGATCTGTTCATTTTTATGTGCACATCGTGATATTTGTTGTAACTATCATTTAAGCAAATATCAAACAGTTACAAGTAGATACTACTTTTTTAGTTAGTAGCCATTTATTGTTAGTCTATCTTGTTTACTTAGAATTAGTGCATATTGATTATCATTTGACTGAGGTAGTCAGTCGTAGTTTGGCAGACCAGTATTTATACGGCATGGTGATTGAAGGTGAAATAAAAATTTGGACAGCGGCCGGATTCGGACCAGCGACCACCGGGTTGCCGGTCCAATGCTCAGACCTCGTAGGTCAGCTGTTAGAGCATCGGGCCGGTTACCTGGTGGTCGCCGGTTCGAATCCGGCCGCTGTCCAAATTTTCATTTCACCTTTAGTCATCACCCAGTATTAATGTATATTATTTTTATGAGGCAGAGTACGAGAGAGAGTCATCAAATCCTTATATCAAACTTTTTACCCTGGTTGTTAATTTCCTCACTATACATATGCATATCTAGGACAGTGCATGTGAACTGTATGTGTACCCTTCCGTATCTGCATTAGCCTGTCTTTCCATACCTGTAATTGTTCGAACAACACAGCCACGATAAATAAAAACACATGCATACAACCAATCATAACACCTATGGTCTGGATGTATATAAACTTTGCATAGCCATTTGTACCACCAGTAAGGAAAGGCAGACTGTAGGCCACCTGAAGTTAGTCAATGCGAACATTTTTCTGTCATACTAAATGTAAACGGTAAGACTAATTAAATGTCACGCTGCGTAATACAGAATATTGTTATGATACTTGTAATTTCCAGTTCCTATACAAAGCTGAATTGCTCAACCTCTGTTAGAAGATGAGCTCCTATGCCGATGCCTTGATACTGCCGGATATTCATGATATTATATTGATCTTCGTGACTAGCTGAGGAATCCAGGGCGTGTGTTTCGTCTTATTTGGGACTCACTCGGTAGTTGGGTAAACTCCAGTGGCTTAGTGGATAGCATTCTGACGTCTGTAGCGGTGGGTACCGGGTTCGAGTCTCAGCGGCAACAACATCACTCACTGAGGTGCAGGTACATCCAGCTGACGCGTCCCAAATAGGATGGAACGCGCGTCCTGGATTCCTCTTCTAGTCACCAAAAACAATATATAATACAGAATAGTCTGAGATTTTCTTAGGAATTCACTTACTGTGTATGTGGAATGCAAAGACAGCATCAGATAAATCAAACAAATAGATAACAGGAATTATACTCCTGAACAATACGAGTAGTCGGAAACCACTCTCACTGACCTGTAGATTTTGGTAGCCAGACCAGAGTGATATGAACACTAAACAGTCGTTTCGTCTGTGTGAAGCCGAGTTGATCATGTGTACGCGAACAAATTCAGCTCACAGTGCCGACTTGGAGAAATCGGTATCCAACACCAAATTGGTTGATCTCCAGTTACTAGTCAGTGCATGTACTCCAGTTCTACAGGAGGTCAATTTCAGCTTGGATAGCTGTGACTGTGGCATGAGCTCGAACCTCTACGGGACATCATTCCTCTTGAAGTTGCAGATACACCTTGCTGACTTGTGTCAACAATCTTGTGCACATTCGTGCAATAGGCAGTGAACCACACTTATTATGTGATACTACCTAGTTGCCCAAATCTCGGCAGGTGGGGTGGTGTTCGAACCCGTGGCCCGCTAATTGAAAGTCAACTCCACAAACCAATGAGCAGAGATATAAACCTTTCAGCTTTCTTCTGAATGCAAAGGTTCGGTTTTTTATTCATGTCTGTATAGCATCTTCTATATGCTACGTGCCAAGTGATTCACAATGGAAAGCTCAGTGATGCCTCTGGAGTAGATAGAAGTAAGACAACGTTGCCTACTATCACTGATGATCTTCCTGATTGTGGTCGACTGAACTGGACTGGATCATGTAAAAAAAACTGTAAGGAGCAAGAAGATGAACATACGCTGACTGGACCGATGAAAAGATTTGGATTTCTCCCGTGATGATTTATATCTAATGTCTTGTCGCACAAACCCTAAGATCTACAGGCAAAAACCAGCAAGTTGACAGAAGAGGCAGCGAAGACGGGACTTTTTTCAGGTGAATATAGAGAAGACACAGGTGATGAAGATACCCAACAACAACAACAACAACAAGCACCAACCACCACCAACGAGAGCAGCCTAAAGGAAGTTGTCTCTTTCACCTACCCAGACCTAGGCATCATCCTCTCGACTACATGCGGCGCAGATGAAGATGTTAAAGCCAGGATCGGAAAAGCAAGACAGGTCTTCATTAATCTGAAATCAGTTTGGAGATCTACAGCACTGCGCTGCACTCAGCATAAAGCGTGAACAAGATCCAGATTTTCAACACTGTCAGTCAAGTCAGTGCTTCTATATGGTTCAGAAACCTGGCATGTCACGAAAAGCATTCCCAACAAACTGCACACATGCATAAACAGCTACCGCTTACGCTCACTCGATACTAAAGATCAGGTGGCCAGAATAATAAGAATAAACAAGGAGGAACTCTGGCTGACTGGAAACAAATCAACCGAGAACCTATTGCTAACAAATATGCAGAAGCAGAATTGGAGATGGTTTGGATTGGAAATACGCTGAGAAGACCGTTTGTGGACATCACGCGTCAGGCCAGGCCCTCCAGTGGAAGCCAAATGGGAAACGACGACTCGGGTGTATGAACCGATGGTGACATTGAGGAGATGGTGTGAGGAAGAAATGAAAGCTTGTGGCCAGTTGTGGAGCCAGGTTGAAAAAAATTTAGAGAAGAGAGTGAAATGGTGACGTGCTACTAAAGCCCTAATGTTGCACTAGGGACCCAAGGGACAAATAATAATAATGTGTCAAAGATCCGTCTAAACTCCATCGGTTAAGATTCGGCAGGATGCAGAAATCACTTTAAACGTTTTCATTTTCTTTACTGTTTGATCACTATTAACCAGATGTGACTTAGTCTGTCCTTATTTCAACCACAGCATAAGGTATTCGTTAATACGTTGATTAAATTGGTTAGTTTTATATTCGATATAACTGTCTCCACTAGGATACACTAACAAGTGTCGAAACTCGTTAACTTCTCCTTCGTTCGGCTCTCCCTGCTATATTCCTGTTTGAACTTTACTTACCCACTGACTTCACCAACGTTATCTATCTGTCTAAATACTTGTTTTCATTGTTGTGCCATTTTCAACTTTTTTGCTATACCTTTTACTACCACTAATTTTATCATTCTAAAGTTCATAGTCCGCATCCTTTTTATCATAGACTCACAAATTACCTTAGTTGGTCTATATATATATATATATATATATATATATATATATATATATATGCGAAAAGCTACGTAAGTATATTAAAGTGAGGCTGTTTTGTCCTAGTACGGGCTCTCAGTTGTACTCACCCATGAGCCGGCCAGGGAGCGAACCCAAGACAGTGAGATCTCGAGGCGATCATATTACATTTGAGCCACTAGGTCGGAGTTCAACGGTCCCACTTCTATCAGTTTGCGATATAACGTGACATTCGTCCAATACTATCGTTGAGTATTTGTTCTCATCTGTGACTTAGTTTATCCCACTGGTCACTACTTCTCATTAGGACTTCGAGGAAACTCATCTCGAAGCATGTCATTAAGGAGCACTAAGCAGTAATTCAATTTAATATCTGTCTGTTCTGTTTAATATCAGTTCATAGTTTCGATAAGTATCATAACTTGAACTATGGTTCGGTATGGCATCTTCCTATTCGTTTATTTGTCTGTGTCTCTTAATTGATCTGTCATGCGGTAATAGTGTATCTTCCACCCAACCGTTTCCTTCATATTTTCCTTTCTTATTGAGTGAGTTTCCAACGTGAGTGATACATAAGTGTATACTTCATTCATTGTACCCATCATCATAGCTAAAACCCAAACACCCCGGCGGAGCTGTGGTTCATTTGAGCAGATACTCAAATTCCTAACAATGGGCTATGAGCTCGAATCCCATCACATTTGTCAAGATTTGGGCTGTTGGATAGTATTACTAAATCTCACAGAATAGCTATGGTTCATTGCCTGGTACACACAATTTTGTGGTTGTTAAGGTATATTTCTACTACTCATAAAATGTCTATATTGATTCGAATTCAAAAATTTATTGGCAGCCAATGGAGTAAATACTTTAATGAAGTATATTCATATTTTCCCCACCTACGAGTGACTTTAAAGGCCACCATACGAAATGCTGAGACTACCAATTACATTTCTTCATTTTGGGAAAAGCTGCCTTTCTGGCAGTTGCTAGAGTGGCCTCTAAAGTCATTCCTCATTGACTACCCTATTACTAAAGTGAAATGGCTATAAGTCTTTATTCTATCCAGTAAACTCCACTCTTACCTGTAATTATTATAATGCTGGGAGCCTTCGATTGTACTAGTGTCTATCTATCTATCGATCTGTAGGTTTGTTTTTCATTCTGCAATATCGAGTGCCTTTGAAGGCCATCGTAGAAACTGCTGAGGTAACCAATCAGTTTGTAGTATTTCGCCTACGATGTTAGTTTATCACTATCATCTGTCATGGCGTCAGGGTAACACTTATTGTATCAGGTTAACAACTTACAAATCTTTATACCATCCCTTCCCTTAGTTAAGTCAAATAGTGGAGAGTGAAACCATGGTAACAGATGTTATTTTCAAGTCCACTGTTTTGATGTGATCCAAGTTTATTGATTACTTGCACCAGCAGTCTATGGCAGGGAACATGACGTTTCGCTGCATTTCAGTGTCTCATCCTACAAGTGAATCAGTAGAAAGTGATCGACTACTTTAATGATACTAATGTCTATTTCTTCTCACTTTTTTTGTATTTCCAGGCACTTTATGCAATCATGGAATTGTCATCATTTTTTCGTATGATTATTATATATATAATGGGTATGTTTGGAGGGGGATTAGTTGTACACCTGTACTATATACAACATGAAGACAGTATGTATACGTCAGTGTTCAGTGTAGCTAAATCACCACGATTGATCGAAGATGATATTGCCTATAAACAGTTGAGTAGGTTAGATTTTTCTTTTTTTTTTAAATCATCTCTTTTTACCAAAATAATCATTATTATTATAGTTCAATCCAATGATTCACAACATGAACATGCATTACAACATTTGGGTGAGTCAATTTCTTCTTTAAATTAAAAAGATAATAAATTTATGTATATATATATGTATTTTCTTGGTGTAAAAAGACGATTGTCACAGAGAATATCTTTACTGCTTGAATTATATTGGCCTATATGCAAATTATTGTTCCTCTGTGCTCATTTGCAGCATTTACGCTTCTCTTCTTTGCTTTGTTGGATATACTTCATGCGAATGCCTATGTATATCATTGGTCAATATGGTGACCATGATCTTCCAGCTGTTGGTAGGTTTTCATCTAGCCTGTAGGTAGTAGTTGCTGGTGTGGAGGGGCGGTATAGAAGAGTGTACATCTTGTGGTGACCACGAGAATCTGGAAGCAGAAAAAGGAAGAGAATATATGCTTCGACGTCTAAGGCTAGTACACATAATGTACTTGGATTTAATAATAAAAGAAAAATTGACAAATGATGATTCATAGCGAAGAGGTGAATCGGTCTAGAAATTGATTGTGGATGAGTAAGGTTTCAAATCCGCTTCAAAGTAATAATGAAGACAGTATGACTCAATAGTAAACTGATTGGACAACCAATTGACCAATCAAGTTTGAGCTATCGACCAGCGTAAAAAAGCACTTTACCCTATGCGATTCAAGATTCGTAACTTCTAAGTTGAACAAACGCTGGATTAACTACCGAACTAGATTTTTCATTTTGACCTGAAATGGTAGTTATTCGACTGACAGTGGAGGCCACCCTAGCAACTGATGAGATAACCAATCATTTTTCTTTATTTTGAAAAAACTATTTTCCCAGATGAAATATTTAAAGCTCATTGGCTATTTATTCCAACAGTTGCCTGCCTGGCCTATAAGATCTCTCAGTTTTTCTCCACATAAAATAGAGAAGCACTGTTAAGGTGAGGTGTCCCTTTAGTGTCAGTCCGAATGGAGTGATAGCAGAAAGACGGAATGCAAACATTTAGAGGGTGGCTTTAAAACCCATTCTAGGAAGAACTGAGATGGCTAATTACACTTATTTTATGGAAAGCTACCTTCTCAGTCAAAATAAAGAAATCTAATTGGTTATTTGATTTGTTGCTAGGGTGGGCTTTTAAGTCACTCCATTTAGATGGCATTTTTACTGATGATAACAAAGCGTAATTATGTCGGCATTTTTAGAAAGAAATGGTTGTTTTTTATTCCACCTTAATGTGACCGTATGCCTACAATGTGGATAAATAAAGCGAGTCATGAATTTCTTAAACCTGAGGGTCGCTGGTTCGAGTCCCGCCACTACTCATGTTTTATTCCCAGTCTCATCATCACCCCAGTTAAAAAAAACAGTCACCATGTTAAAGTAAAGCATTCCTTGTATAAGCAAATCTTAAAGTGCTTATTTACGTGGATAATGACAGAAGGCAGACTGTAGGAACACTGTTGTGGCCACGCATAATAGCTACACGAAAGTGTTATTTACCATCGGATTATCCATATTAAAAGCTGTTAAGTTTCTAACTAGAGGTAACTATCGGGGCCTGAGGGTCGCGGGTTCGATCCCGGTGGGGTCGTGGGTGCGCACTACTGAAGAGTCCCAAACTAGGACGAAACAGCTGTCCAGTGCTCCTGAGGTTTCCAGTGTTTCTGCAACTGATATCATTCCATGACGAATACCAACTTGAAAATTTTTTAAAAGGTTCAACAAATTGACCCCCTGAAGATATCAGAAGACAGCTAGAAACAAGTATCTTATCCCCATTTGGTTCAAACTCAAACTGTTCTAGAATGCCACTAACCAAACTAATGAGTAGTCAGTCCTCAAGGTCAACTAATCATTTTGAATAAAATAGTCCAATGTAATCAATAAACAGGATGTTTATATCATAGGTTGATGTCGGTTAGTGGACCACAGAAAATCGTAAAGCACTAGACAGCTGTTTCTTCCTAGTATGAGATCTATCAGCAGTGCACACCCACGATGCTGCCACGGATCAAATCCAGAACCCTCAGGTCCCACAGCGACTACGTTAATATTCAGACACTGGGCTGGAATCGGATGGTTCACAGTTTCCTGCTCCTCTCAATCCACCATGTAGTGCGATATTCATCCAATACCATCATTCAGCATTTATCCGCACAGGTGATTTGATTTACCCCACCGGTCACTACTTCGCACTAGAACTTCAAAAAACCCTATCTGGAAGCTTGTCACTAACCAATACCAGATAGTATTTCAGTTTAAAGGTTTTGTCAATACGTGCTCATTCAAGTTAATGACTGCGGTCCAAATTTTCATTTCACCTTCAACCATCACCCAGTATGAAAGGTAAAGTGTGTTGATGACAATTATCTTACTTTTAGTTACTCCTTTGTTTTACTTACAAAGATGTTTCATTATCCTAATTGGAATTATCGTATTACAGAAGCATTATGAAATTAGTTACATTCTCATCGTAGCACTAAAAAAAATAATATTTCAAGTTGTTATTCATCGTAGACTGACATCAGTTGGAGGAACTAAGGAAACCTGGGAGCACTTGATAGCTGTTTCGTCCTATTGTGTGTGACTCAGCAGTGCGCACCCACGACCCCACACCAGCAGGGGTCGAACCCGCGACCTTCAGGTTCCATGGCCAGCATGTTACCATTGAGCCACTGGGTCAGAATCTAATGGTCCATACTTCCAACTTTTGTTAGTTCACGATATAACGCAACCGCCACCCAATGTCATCGTTGAGTAACTGTTTTCACGACCATCAGGCTTTGTTCATCTGAAATTTAGGAAAGTGCTTTTAGGCAACATATTCATTATTCAATTTCGTTATTGTTTTTACTGTGTTTTGTTGTTTTACTCCTTTCTACGTCATTATCTGTTGACAATATTGTGTTACAATATTATTGATTATTTCAAGTAATCAATAAAGATTCAGTTTAGAGGTTTGTGGGGGATTTATTTACATAAAACAAGCAATGAATGTGTGAAAACAGTAGGATTTGATGAATTTCATTAGTACTCGTCAGCTGAATACTCTTTCTATACACTTGATTATTATATATACATTTGAAAAGAACATACATATACATACCGTAGACTACTGAGACATCAATTAAGGCATAATAACATTGAAACGAAATAAAAATCTGGTCAGTAGTCGGACTTTGTAGCTCAGTTGGTAGTGCGTCGGACTGGAAACCCCGTGGTCCCTGGTTCGAATCCGTCCGCGGTCCAAATTTCCATTTCACCTTCAATCATCACCCATGATAAATACCAGTCTCTCAAATTATTGCTATCTTAGATAGTCAAATGATAACATATATATGAATAATTTCATAGGTTAAGTGGTAATGCAAAGGATAGAAATGGATGTTCAAAATCGAATGGGTTAGATTACATGATTAACTATGAGTTTAGATAATACTGGATTTCAGGCAGGGAAATAATAATAATGTTGACACAGCGCCGGGAAGTGAATCGATTGGGCGTAGATCATGTCATTCACAACAAGATATTAAGTAGTATGTACAGATTAATGATGGATAGTGACTAGCAGTGGGATCCAGGAAGCGCGTTTCGTCCTATTTGTGGTTCGTCAGCCGGATTCACCTGCCTTCCAGTGAGTGGTGTTTTTCCCAATAAGAATGAAATTAATAACCAACCAGCTTTTAGAATAATTTTAAATACAATTTATTAATGACGATCAATGATAAAGTAATTTAGACCTGTTTGCTTTTCATCTAGTATAGGATCTATGCATCATCAATAACACTTATCGATTTACAGTTAGTATTCATCACGGACTGATATCACTTTGGGAACTACTGTGAACCTGGGAGCACTGGATAGCTGTTTCGTCCTAGTATGAGACTCCTCAACAGTATGCAGTATAGTCCTCATTAATGACATACTTCCAGATGGATATAACGAAGTTCTAATAAGAAGCCGTGACCTGTGGCGTCAACCAGTCGGAAGTGAAGTGGATGCGAACTGAAGACCTTGTGCGATAGTCGCGCTATATCGTGAATGGACAGAAGTTGGAAACTATGAACCACCGGAAACCGACCCAGTGGATGAATGATTAACGCGTTCACCTGAAGGTCGTGAGTTCAATCCCTAACCGGGTCGTGGGTTTGTACTGCTGAGGAGTCTCATACTAGGACGAAACAGCTGTCCAGTTCTCCCCATATTTTCAATGTTTACCCAACTGATGTCAGTTCGTGATGAAAACTACCTCTAAATTAAAATCCCTATTCATCTCAAAAATACACTTATCGATTTTATAGAAGAGTTGTATATTTTGGCTAGACCAGTATCAACCTGGTTAACAATAGACTTGACTCCTTTACGTTCACATTCATATACCGTGAACACTATCTTTCATTGGAATTGATTACATAGATGCGAACATCTCGCCCTCAAGGAGGCATCATGAATGCTGCTAAGTCAAGTGTAGGAGAATATGTCTTTTTCTTATGATTAAATGAAATCAAAATTCGTTTGTTTTCGAACCAGTAAGGTAAGTAGATAGGATAGGATAATGAAGAAGTATCCTAGTGTTATTGCTTGTATTACACTGTCGTTGATTGGACCGAATTGATCAGTTTCTGTTGGTATATAGGCTCCTGTGCGGATGCCTCACTATTGCCTGTGTTTTAATTATGTATAGTAATGATGGGCAGTGGGTAGCACTTCGCCCTATTTGGGACTCGTCAGCTGGATGTACCTGCCTCCCAGTGAGTGATGTTGTCCCCACCGGGACTTGGACTCAGGAGCGATCGCTTCAAACGCGAGACACGATAACCACTTCTTGTGTGACGGGTATAGTTTTAGTGTTATTGCTTGTATTAGTGTTTAAATTGAAGGATTTAAGTTGATGGTATTTTCCTTACAGTTACGGCTATGAAGGTGAATGAGAGATATTCAAAATTTTGTAGATGATCAAGAGGGTATTCATCTACGCCACTATAGTCAATTTCAAACCATATAACAAGGAGTCTCCAGTCATGTATAGCCTACATTTATGCCAACATTTGCTTCTCTTCTTAGTACTGAGTGCTTAACCTCGACATTGCTCACTCAGTGATTCGAGTACACATGAACAGGCTACAAAGACACTTGTAGTTGACAATGTACAACCCCTTCATACATTCTACTTTCAACGATCATTCTTCACAGACGTATAATAAAACGCTTGTCTTGCTGATTTCATAACTGGCCTAAAGTGGAAGCGACTTTAAAAGTTGTCCTAATATGTGTTGTAATGAGCAACTACTGTTCTCTACTTTATGGGAATCGGACATCCTAGAAGAAATACCGAAATCTGATTGGTTGTTTTAGAAGTTGCTACAGCGACTTTAAAAGTCACCCCTAAAGCGGAGAAGGGTAAAGGAACCTTTTCGATGCAAGCTAAGCTTCCATCAGTAATCATATATGGAACGGATAGAATTTCCCAAGTGAGCAAAGTTGGAAGTGGTAATAACCAGTTGAAATAACAGAGATGCAGAGTTATTTGTGAAGTAAAGGTAGGACGTTTATCGATTTCTACTTTTTGATGGATCTCCTCTCTTCTTTATATGGAATCAGTCTGATACATCAATGTGGTAGATTATGCATTGCACAAATAAATGCATTTATGGTACATTTTCGATAAAACAATAACAATAAACAGTTTCTTTGAAACGTGTGATATTATAGCACCGCAATACATTTCAAACAATCTGGTTATACACACCCACCCACTTAGTTATTACTCCTAGTTGTATAGCACATAACTAGGATAATGGCTTCTAGAAAATAATGGATGTAACTCAGGGTCGAACCGTAAATGAAAGAGGGGGATGTCGTGTACCAGTAGCCTAGTGGATAACGATCTGGTCTTTGAAGCTGTAGGTTTTGGGCTCGAATCTCAGTGGGGATAACATCACTCACTGTGGTGCAGGTACACTCGGCTGACGAATCCGAAATAGGACGAAACGTTGGTTCTAGGTTTTACTGCTAGTGACGAAGATGATGTAGTATGTTCATCATCCTTATTATTAAATCTGATTTACCAGAAATAGATTAAATATAGTAACAAATTGTTATTGAATGAACAGAAGAGGTCTAAAGTTCCTTACGCTTAGTGCTTCAACGAACCTAATTATGTAGTACCAAATAGGTTTGGGAATAGATTAGTTGGAAGGTGTACACGAATCAAGTTTGCTGAAAGTAAGTGTAATAATATGTTGCTTAGATAGAGGTAGCACTACCAGTAGATTTGTCAAGGAAACATGAAACCTCATCAAAGTATAATCCGACAACAATTATCCTTTAGAATTTATTCTTCCTAAGTAAGTATCGGTAAACAACAACCACTCATTGTTCAGTCAACTTCGAGGAAGTGTGTACACATGACGCCACCGTATATGGGTGATTCACAGGCATTCAAAACTGAACAAAACTTAATTAGCTAGTCTCATGCGGAGAACATACGGTGCAGCAAGGTCAACATTATAGAGAAAACAAAACGTTTACATTCCTGTAAATCGAAACAGCATTTTGGACGATAGTGTCACATCAGATTGTGTTTACCAGTTCACATGTATGTCTGGTTACAGATACGCAAGGGGTGGACTCATCGACGTATATAAGTAAGCTCCATGGATTACATCTGGAAATGGCTGTAGTAACAAATCGCACCAATTGATCCCACTGACCCGAGTATCAGATATCCAACTTCATCGGATTCTAAACATATCATTGAAAAAGTTACCATGTTGATTCATATGCATGCATCGTTCAACCTTATTTCCGGAATCTGTTTTAGAGTACATGGTAAGGTTTATCGAAGCTATCACCATAAAGAAGCTTAAATCTCTTCTGTGCATTCAAAAAACAATTCATTGTTAAATTGTACCTCTTACTTGGTAAATCAACTTTAATATGAAGGTTAAATAATCTATTATCTTTCATTAGTTGTCTAAACTAACAGTTTGACCCTGGATTATATCGATTGTTTTCTAAGAACCGTTTGCCTTTTGTTACATTCGATACAAAGATATGCGTGACCAGATTTTTCGAAATGTATATTGTAATGCTGGATGGAGTGACCGCGTGGAAGTGACTGACAGACGAATACGGAACACGAGGAACGCTACTAACGTAATGAGACACTTGGGCTGGATGCAAATAGTGACTGTTCCCCGTCAGGCCCGATAATTTAGTGAACTACAAAAATCAGAAGAGAAATACTCCCCGATGACTGTAAAGAAGACCTTACTTGAGAAAAAACACACACTTTTCCTCAAAATATAAAGCCATTAGGTTAGAAGTTGGATGCTTATTTTGACTGGCCAAATGTAATAGTATAAATTATCCAGTATGGTTTTTCCTGACCATACAGTAGCATAAAACCAGGTTGAAATCCAAAACTTCTACCTTAGCAGCTGATGAATTAAAGTGCCGATTTTGAATTAGGCCACTTTCTGTCACTGGATAGTCGTTTGACCATATTTCTCTGATCAGTCATGAGGTAATCGGGTTGACAAGACTGTTGATAACCTAGTCAACTTTTCATATTTCACTATATCGTACCCCATTTCTTCTCAAATTAATACACATTCCTTCTTCTTTATTTATTTATTATGTAATTATGTTTTCTTTGTCTTGATCACTTCAGGTGAGGCAACATTGGCCAAAGCATTGGCTAAGCGTGTACGTGTACTCTGTTGGATACTTACAATGCCAAGTAATCATAAATCAAAAGCTGTGCACGTTAAAGCTACCTGGGCTGGTCGATGCAATAAATACATGTTTATTAGTAGCGAAAATGATGAAAACCTTCCTTCAGTAGGTAGGTAACCGTTTATTGGTTGATCACGCTTGATTGTTATTGCTATTGTTATTACCAATATCCCCTTCTTATTCATTTGCTTTATTTAGTTCTAGTATAATCTTAGGGTTATAATTTTGTTGTTGGTGGTGCTGTTGTTGATGACTGGTGACTACTTATCCACCTCTTCATCCCGCTCTCATCGCCTCCGACAATCTTGAGTACTAACTGCAAAACTTGGGTACTGTTGCAGATTATAGTTCCCTCAGCCAGAACGGAATGATGCAAGCCTAATCGTTCCGAGTGTTGCTGGTGAGGTCATCTGGGTATCTAGCGACCAGTCTAAGTAGAAGACTATGCCTCATGTCATTCCAGGTTAGATATCTGAAAAAGGGAGGAAAGAGAGGCATGGATGTTACATGCACATGGAGACTTACCCGGAGGCAGGTTCAACGATCTTCAAAATAGAGAAGATGGAGACCGAAGCAAGAAAACAAGGGTAATAAGAGTACCTGGGGACTTACATGCCTTTATGGTGGAAGCCATCATAGCATTTTATTGAGTCCATGATGATGAGGAAGCATAAATTGACGAGACTGAACTTTGGCAGTCCTATCACCGAGCGCATAGTCCTTCCCGTCTCTTCGTATGAGAGACCTTTCATGCTCATAATGAAGGGGGTAGTGAACTATCCTAGATACCCTAATCTCCTCGTTACGTTGAAGATATTGCGACATGCCTTTGTTTCTGAACTCCGTATTGTACCTATTAACTTTGGCTTTGGTTAGCCATGACTGCCTCATAGTGTTGTCAGCAATTACCTTGACATCTATGACATACTGTGCGGTGTCCTTAATGGCTGTGCTGCCTTGTTTGAAGAAGGTCATCGACCTGTTTACCTCCAGACGAACTTTCCAAGCAATGTCACTGACATATATTGATTGGTCACGGGAGTGCAACCAATTTCATGTTGTCTAGTCCTGAGTGCAGACTGAATCCTATCGATCATATTTGCAATGTGACAACCAGACTAGGAAGCTCGGCATCGTGGTGCACATTAGTAGATGTTGGTTGGAGGCAATCGGCAAGATGTCCTGCACCTAGGTTTCGTGCTTGTTGGCACCCGTCAGCAAGGCGTATCCGCAACCTCGACAGAACTGATGTCCCCCCTGAGATTCGTCACCCAGTGTTGTAGTCAGCGACTTTGCCAGTAGATATTCGGCCGCGATTGACCTCCTGTAGGACTGGCTTACATGGTTGCACTCCCGTGACCAATCAATACATGTAAGCTAGTCGTGCAGAGGCCAATCGCGGCCCGAATATCTCACTGGCAAAGTCGCTGACTACAACACTGGGTGACGCGGTCGAATCTCAGGGGGACATCAGTTCTGTCGAGGTTGCGGATACGCCTTGCTGACGAGTGCCAACAAGCACGAAACCTAGGTCCAGGGCATCCTGCCGATCGCCTCCAACCAACTAACATCTACTAATTTCGCTTACATTTTCAGTCAGTCTTGCAAATTACCAGATGGAGATATCTATAGGAGGCAACGTCTAGGATGGCCACGTTGAAAGGTCTGTAACTGCTTTTGGGTTTAAAAGTTTCCTTACTATTTGATTCTGATCTTGTAATGATAATAAATTTGTGTAAGTGGAGGGGGAGAAAATATTCACGAAGGTTAATGAAGAGATTCAAAATTTTTGAGGATGATAACGAGTATACTACAATATGATCTATTTCAAACCGTGTAACCTGGTGCCTCCAACTACATCAGTAAGTAGAAGTCAGGTTTTTAACGGAAAAATAAAGTCAGTTGATGAGAGAGTCAGATGTCTAGGATGTTTGCTACGCATGTCTAGTCATGCTAGAGAAGAGTTAGAGGTGACCAAACTGAAGTGTGACATCAGTCTATGAACTCTTTAACTGTTGGTGTGAGCCATGTAGCTAAAGGTGGACTTTCCGGTTAGGATGAGTGTGTATTGCAGTCAAAATTGATATTTCCAGTCTCTAGGTGATATGGATCGGAATCGATGTCAGTGATGTAGATGTATCCACGTTAAATTAGTTTCTTCCTCATATCTGTATATTCTCTACCATTTTGTTCTGATACATAGTGTCACCACATGAATAGTGGTCCGATGTTGGTGTTAATTTATTGATTTATTTATTCAACCAGTACCTACTGTATTATTTCTTTATAAACAGTAATAACGATGCTTAGTTAGTGTAACAAATGTTGTAAAACTGTTACTCAGTTGATGATTTGTAAGTGAAATGAAAATCTAGGTTACGGCAAGATTCGAACCAACAGCTTGAACAAAAGTTTTAAAATGTGGTGTTTATTCATTTTATCAATCCTCTGTCAATATTTTATCAACATGATTTGATCATTCTGCTGAAATTGTTGACGTTTAGCTTAAGTGTGACACTATACAGAATTCACTGCTATTCATAAGGGTGTTCAAATTCTTTCATGGTGGGAGTATAACCTCTTTTCTGCCTATTCTCATGTGTTTTATCAAGTTGTTTAACAGTACAGTCTCAAAGAATCTTCATGTATAACTAAATGATTAGCTAGAAGGATATAGGATTCGGTTGGTAGTGTACTGTCTTCATATTACTTCCCATTAGAAGCTTCTAATTGGATAAGATAGAGACACTGAAAGGAAATCCGTTGAGCACTGTAAACAATACATAAGTTTAAAAGCATTTATAGTTTTTGTGTGTCCAGCCTCACACAGCCTAGTTCTAGTCTAGTTATCATATCACTAAAGTCACTTAACTGTATGACAGAATACAAAGTGCTGCTTCGTTACGTCATGTACTACTCATTGACTGGTAAGTTTAATTGTTTAATATTGCGAAGATGTCATTCACTAGGTTCAATCCATTGTTCATCATTTCAAGATGTTAAAAACCCACTGAGTATCTCTTACAGAGGGGTTGACTAAGTTTTAGATTGATTACTTGCAAATGATGCCAGTGTTTTCCTTTTCACTCGATCCTAAATAATAAGAAATCTTCTCCCAGGGTGATATTCATTACAGGATGACTTGATTTTGAGAACCATTGGAAGGCTGGAAGCACTGGGCATCTACTTTGTCCTGATGTGAACATCTCAGCAGTGCACATCGATGATACAGTCAGTGATAGAACTTGGGACTTTCAGGTCTTGTAGTGAATGCGTTGCCATCAGTGACTATTTTCCCTCACACTTGAGCAGGTTTGTGAGGGGATTCACCATGGTCTATTGAAGAGTCCTGTGCCAGGATGAAACAGCCGTATATTGCTCCAGGTTTTCAATCTTTCTCCAAATGATGTCATAACATGATGAAAACCACCTGGAGTCAGTTAAATACCAAATGTTTTGTCGATAGTAAATTTCATCATTTCAGACAGTCATGATTTTACTGGGTTCTTGATGTATCATTGAGGTCAGTAAGGGAGGCAGACAGAAGTTGTCAAACACTATGAAGTAACGATTGTGACTCACTAGTTAGAACACCTATTGGCTACTAAACGTCACGACATTTCGTCACTCATTGCAATGCACGTTGATAACGCTATGGACGTGAATTTAATTTTGACAATGCAGAAATTTTGGACAGAGGAAACACAACGAATATCAGAGAATTCCTAGGAGCTTGGCATTCAGGTCAGTCAGTCAGTCAGCAATCAACAGATGTTTAAACATATAGACCCGATCTATCAACCAATGGGGTAAATGATAAATGGCAGAAAGGTCAGAGGTGAAGCAGAGGAACAGCCAACAGAAAAGTCTATACAATCAATTACACAACAATCGAAGGAAACAACCAATCACAAACTAGTTGCTCAGGGCAAGCTACTGAATCACTCATGGAGAGATACTGACAGCTCACTTCATACTGAAGTTAGTGCTGATGATGTCGCTGTCTAGAAAGGCGATGAAAGCTCCACGACTAAACAACCCAGCTAGCTCAGAGAACGCAATGACCAATAGAATTTTTTCTTTTCAGTTGGATACTTTTCAAAACTTTTCCTGAGTCGACATCAGTTGAAGAGTCATCGGAAACCTGGAAGGACTGCACAGTCGTTTCATCCTAGTATGCGACTCCTCAGCAGTGCACATTCATGAGTCCTCTAGGGATCGGTCTCGAGGACATTTTAGTTTCGAATACGTTGCTGTTTAGCCACTGGGTCGGAATCCAGCGGTTCAAAATTTCCCGTTTTTGTCGACTCACGATATAACTCAACCTTCACCCAATGCCAGTGTTGCGTAATAGTCTCCACGTGCGACTTGGTTTGCCACACCAGTCACTACTTCTCATTAGAACTTCAGGAAATCTCATCTCGAAGTGTGTCACCGTTGGGGACTAGACAGTAACCCAGTTTAGAGGTTTGCGCAGATTTTTGATTGATTTTCAAGTTGGTATTTATCAACGGAATGGCACCGTACTTACAGTTTTTAAGTAGTTTATTCCATTATTATACTAGTTATTCAGTTGATGGTTGAGACATGATTGTTGAAAGTAGGTATCTCTGTAGCATTGCTTACATGCCATGAAACCAGCATATGAAGAGTTTTAAGATTAGAGGTAGAGCTGATGGTGTAGACTATCAGCAAACTAGTCCATGCCAAGCCAAGCTAGCACCCAGTTTGCTGTCGATAAAGTTTCCAACTGTTCATCTGAGCCATGTGTAGAGAGTGACATAAGCTGTCTTCTGTTGATATCTTCCAAGTGATTGATATCGACAGATATTACTAAAGAACGAGTATACTCCACTGCAGTTCGTTCTTTTGTGATATATGGCTGAGACATTTCCGCTAAACCTAGAAGATATGAAGAGGTTAAAGTTTTTGATCACAGGTGCCTTCGCACCATTGCTTGCATATGATGGAATGACTATATGAGCAATGTTAAGGTTAGGCGAAAGGTACCAGGCAAGACAGGCAAGTCAGTCAGTGAGGTTTTGAACCTTCACTGACTGAGGTAGCTTGGACATGTGCTGCACATGTCGAGTCACTGCTTATCTCAAC